CTGCACAGAGCAGTACTCCCCCTTCCCATGGCGAAGTAAAAGAATTAGGCAGACATCCACGCTCGTGCACTGGAACATCTTTATTCAGCTACACGCGGCTCCAGACCCACCACAGACACCTCCTGTCTGCTCTCAGATCTGATCTCGCTGCTGTGCACAATCGTTTTACGTCGGGCAAAATCAACAGACCACTGATGAGCTCTAACTGAAGCAGGACTCTCATCTCTGTGCTGTCCCCGGCAGATTCTTACGCTGCTTTCTGCACAGGATCAGGAAGGACTAAAGAGGTATTGTATGTCAAAGGCTGCTTTTGGTGTAAAAAGTGCTTTACTTGACTTTGGGGACGGGAAAAATTGTGTTTTGGTATTTTTTTTTTTTTTCAAAACTCCCAAAGAGCAGGAAATTATATTTGGGTACCAGCTACCAGCATTTCATGCTCTGGAAATCCCCTATAGCAACAAAGACAAGAAGAAAGCCCACATGAAAAAGACTGCTTTGGATCTGCATTGCTTATTCCAGATTTGTTTGGGTTCTTTAACCATTTTCCAAATCTTGTTATCCCACCCCACTCCCACTTACAGCAAGGCCACACAATGCACGCTTTATATGTTATGCACAAATATAACAGGCATTCTTCAATATAGGGGATGTACACGGCAGAAATGCTTAATTTCCCACTCATGACTTCACAATACTCATTTGTTACTCATGTTATCTGAGTACGCCCCATGGAGAACATGGAAAAGAATACCTTTACAAAAGAGAATGCTTTGCTACATAGGAAGAAATGGTGAAGTTCGAGTTAAGGCAAAAATAAATGTGTTTATATAGTGTGAAGATATATAATACACATCTATTATTACTTAGATTTCATATTGGAAGACTGTTGGATTTTGGGTTTAGAAGTACAGGGATAGCCAGAGGACATAGGTTTCGGCCTCACAGGACAGGACACTGAGGTCTATGAATACCATGAATCTATTTTGAGATTCATTATTACCTCTCTACGATGAAAATTCCAGATCTTCTAAGTCTGCATATTAAACCGCTTCACACAGGCAAAGCTGGGTTTATGTCGCCTCAGCAACCAACGTCCACAAGGACTTACTCTAACAGTAGTCCTTGCACTTACAGCTTAATACTTCCTGAGCTGTCCCCCTGAATTGGAATCCCTTCAGGTCCTCAAGCCAAAAGAAAGACGATCCAGGTTTGACACTGAGACCTTTGCAGGAGGCACAGTCCTTCAGTTAAGATGGGAGTTGGAGGGGTAGTCCAGGCAAAATGTCTCCTGCGCTTCAAAGCTGACTCTGCAAACCTTCAAGTGATTGTTGAACTTCAAGCTTGTTTGCTATTGGGTTGGGAGAACCATCCGTTGACCTGTGGATCAGGGGCTGAAGATATCCATGGTAAGGGGAATCCTTTGGACTCCACATCTGTTGGATGTGAAGACCCATGTAGTCCTCCAAGCTTGAGGCCAAAAGAGCTACCCATACACACAAAGTTCAGCATACTGTTGGAGCACCACAATCATCATACTTTAAATTATAAATACTGAATGGTAAACTAACAGAGGCCAAAGTCCCTACCCCCAGCATGGCTTGAGCTTACCAGTGGGACCTACAAAGGAATCGTATCAGTACCTGGTATTGATTCTGTGCATGGGAAGAGGGGGCTCTTCTCAATTTCACCCACATGGGAGTTATGGTTCTGGGAGGGAGCACAGTTGCTAGGCTGGTCGGGGTGCTACTGGCTGGATATCCGTAAGTACGTTGTAGGACAGCGTCAGGCAAGGGCACGAGAGTCAAAAAACTAAGTGCTGAAGGTATCCATAACTAAAATTGTAGCAGGTCATCTGCAGAGGCTTAGCTTTCACTATATGCTCGAGTTACATCAGGCACGGAGATAACGACTGAATTCTCCGAACTTCTTTGGGCCATCCGCCATCATTCACACCGTGGCATTTCACTGTAGCTCATTCCAGTTGGAGACAGCTCTCCCCAGAGGAGAATATGCCTTCCACATCCACCCTACTATCTTCTCCCAAAAGGCACTAATGTGTGACCAGTTTGCAAAACTGTCTGAACAAGAAAAAAATCAAGGGAGAAAAAGTCGACCTGAAGAAGCTCTTGCCATGACATTTTCGCAGGACAACCTCCCTCATTTTCTGCCTCTACACTGGAGCTAGAGAGTATGGTCGGCCCACGCTCCTGCAAAACATTATGGTTCCACCAGCAAGGTGACAAGAGGCTTTACAACCTGTTTGCATCTTTCGAGCATGTTAACACTTCTATAAAGCAAGCACACAACTCTCAGGCAACATGCTCATGGGCTGCTCTGGCCTCCAGCACGGTGAAAACCTAAACCATCTGCAAGTCTGGAAAGGAAACAGTGCAAAACTACTGCCTTCTCACCTTGAAAGCTTCCCTACAGCTACATATCCTTGACATTATATCTCACCTGATGAGGGTTTTGAAAGTATCCTTTGCTTTGGTATCTGAGCACTGAGTGTAATCACAATGCTTGGCCTGTTTGCAACAGCATAGTGCTCAGCAGTGCAAATTTTACCACCTTGTCCTAAAATCAGTGAGCAGAGCAATGTAAGGGGCCAGCTGGACCTTCCAGGCCTGGCCGTGGAATTGAAATAACAGGAAACAATCAGGGACTGCAATTTTCCTGCCCTTCCTCCTTCTCTGAAAGCATCTTGGAAAGGCACATGTTCTTCAGCAGACAATAAAACATACAAGAAACTCCACTGTTGCTTATCCAGCTTCACCCTGAATACATCCCATAGTGGGAGGACCAGAAACTGAACTGTGATTTTGCCTTCATTTATGCCTCTGGAAAACGAATGATCTGTAACTAGTGTCAAGACCTACGGGGCAAGTCCACAGGGCAGCCTTGAGGATCTGCACCTATAGAGGCAGGATAACCAGGGCTGCCTGCCAAAGGCATCCAAAATGGAAATGTAACATAGTTTAAACAACTTCACTTCCATGTTACCGCAGGGGGTCAAGGAGAAGAGCGACGAGAGCTAAATTCAAATCCCAGGAGGGGCCGTCTTACTGGCCTTGCCATTCCATGCTTAGTTCAGCTCTCAACAACGGGGTCCTAGGCACTAATACCATACAATAAATAAATCCCCATCATCTTTAGGATCACATCTGGAAAAATGCCCTTGCCAACTGCATGGGCACGGGAAGAACATCTGGCAAAGAAAAGTGAAAAAAAGACATCAACTTATAACACAGGGACTAGAAAGAACTTGGCTGAGTAAAGTTAAAGCAAATACCAATGATCACCCGGGTTTTTACCCAAGATCCTGAGGGACCATCATCTCTGTCCTTCTGAAGCTGCTGTTTCGACAATGTTTCCCGTACAATGACTATGTCGCTACCTTTAAGGAGCTGGCTGACCCTGAGATCCTGACGGAAGGCTGTCCACTCACTGCAGAACGACACTATTCTGTGAGCTTCAGGCATGAAAGTAAACAGCAATATAGAGGCACTGGAAATGAAAGGAGCCGAGGCTGTTGGACACAACACTGCATTTAGGAGCACATAACCTCCTAACTCCTCAAGAAAAGACAAAAGTCCTTTCTTCTCCCTTTTCCGTAAACAAAAAGACCTGTTAAGTGGATCTTGGAGGGTTTTCCCTGGTCATACTGCCACCGTGGGATATGGAGTAAAAGGCAGGTAGGAACTTCTATTTCTGTGTGCTGTGCATTGTCAGCTACTTTCCTGGACCTTCAATAATGTCATCATCACTGCGATATTGCAAGCAGGCAGCCTAGAGATCATTGTTGATATCTTTTTCTGCACAATCACACAGATATATTCATGGGCATTGTATCAACCGCCATCCAGCACAGCAACACAACAGTTTAATTTAGCAACCCCTCCACTGCTCAAATCTATTTTACAGTCAACAGATTAATTTAGTCATTGCTTTTCCAAGAAGTACCCCAGAAATCTTTCAGGTTCATGTGCTGGCTTCGTCTGAGTATCACAGTCCTTGTCCCACCACCACTGCAGCGGCAACTGAATCATAGGGACTACGCCCCCACAACAGGCTGTGCAGCCATCCAGTTTCCAGAGGCAAACCCACCTTTCCCTCTCCTCTCCACGTTTTCC